TTATTTATTAATACTTTATTTAAATTATGTCTTATTTACATGTCTTCCAGTAATTTATAAAATAGGCTAAACCTTGTACTTCAAAGATAAAAAATATAAACAAATAAAAATAAGTTAGTCTTCCGAAAATTTAATGGAAGGTCATATCCGTAAAAACGTTACGATTATATGACTAAATATTTCTCTTTTTTGTTTGTAGTACACTGATGAAAATTATTTCCTCCATGTATGAGTTGCGAGAATTTCAAGTAATTTTTATTTGTTTTGATCAAAACCGATATTTAATTCAATAACATAAACAAGTAAACGTAGATTATTTTGAATTAGAAAAAGTCAATAGTTAAGCAAAAGTTTAATCTTCAATTAAGAATATTAATTTGTACCTACTTTTAATTGATATTATATTTATAAAGACTTATAGTACATATAAATAAATAATCATCAAAAGGATTTGATAAACATATTCCTTTGTAATGCGTAGTATTTTATATTTGGTACTGCGAAATTAAGTAACTTTTCCTTGAAAACAGTATTTTTGTCTCTCAGTGTAGCTATAGCTTTAAGGACACTTCTTATCAAAATAATTGTATGTAGAACAAAATAATAACGTAATTGTTACATATCTTTCTAATTTTACTTTTTTTGTTTTATCAGACACTGATCAGACATGCAACTCATATTAAAAAGTATTTTATTTCATTTAATCAAGTTCTTTATTTTTTATAAAAACACAATAAAAAATTTACGCTTACCAGAAAAAGATAAAAAACAAAAAAGGGCAAGAGATAAGGCATGATAAATTTCTCACAAGTTCTGACGATTTCTAAAGTGTAGCGCCCATAAACTATTTAATTATTACTTAATTATTGTTCAAATAACTCCATCCTTCATGTCGTATGAGACATGTAAAACTGAATGCGTAAGGACATTGCAGTGTTTTTTAACAGAAATTGATATTACTATTTTATAATGAGTAATTCTTCGTTCTTCGTGGTAAAAATATTGTTAAAAGTAGGTACTTAGTATAATCACAAATTGAATGTACAAAGCAGTGAATCAAATGTATATTGAAAATATAAAAACAAATTTAATTTTAATTGTGAACAATGTCTTTGTGGCAGCACGTGATATCCCAAATAATATTTACCGATCATCATGAAATTTTGTAGACACATTACCAAGAGTATAGAAAAGGACATGGGATACCTTTTATCCAGAACAAAAATAGTTTTCCCGAGGGATAGAAACATTAGTTTCATGTGGTTGATTTCACGCCTTACTAATCAATCGATCATCTTGAAATTTTGTACACATTCTTAGGAGTACGAAAAAGGACATAGGGTATCCAGGAGAAAAAAAAAATGCTGTTTCTGAGAGCTACAAAAATTAGTTTTATTTGTATGTGGTCGTTGATTATCTTTGACTGCAGGTTCCTGGAATCAAACTAAATCGATTGAACCGAACTTATCTGAAAACCAAATTGATTTGTTTCTCGTAAGCGTTCGCAAAAAGTATGAAAAAGAAATTCGTTTTTCTTCATACAGTTTCAATAAAATTATTATACTGAAAAAATATGTATTAATAATTCAATCCTATGTATAGGTAAGTACCTACCAGGTAATACGTCTTTGCTTTTAATATATATCCTTAAGAATCATTACGATATAATACAAAACGTATTAATAATAAGCATTAATTAATACAAGACAAGAAAGTATCATATATGAGGTCTCGACTGTTTCAGTTTAAGTATCCTCGAATTTTTCCCATAGTAATAGAAATAGAATTTTTGTTTAAACATAATTTTGCGGGTGACCTAGAAGCCGCAAATGTCTAAATTTAGCTCTGATCCTGTAGAATTTTTTCATTATTTTGTTATTATTTCTTGCAAAAAAATGTATAAAATGAAATGTACTTTTTATATGTCTAAAATAAAGTCAACAATATTTCGAATAATCTGAGTGAAGTATGTATTATAATAAATTTTATATACTATTCTTGGCACGGTTTTGGCCCAGTTTTCTCTTTGTCATCTTGAAAGCGCGTACCTATATAAATTGTTGTATTGTCGCATTTGCCTGTATTTCTATGAAAAGGGTGAAAAGTAATCGAACATTATGAAGTCAAGGTTTTATTAGTTATAAACTGTTTTATTCAAGTCACTTTTACAATCTTTACATTTAAATGACGTGACTAATATCCTTTCAATTCTTATGTGCATACCAGAATTCTTTTTGAATTTTTTGAAATGCTGTAGGTATTTCAGTACCTCATCAAAGTTATTTTGATTAATTATTA